GTTAATCCCCTCACTATTAATCTTACTATACAAATATAGCATTAGGACACTCGTTAATAATAATAATAATAATAATAATAATAATAATAATAATAATAATAATAAAAGGTGAATTTTGAAGGAAAATTGGCAAGTGGGTTACAGAAGTAGGATAATATTCATCTACAAACTATTTATTTTCCAAGTTATTCTCAAGGGATTGGCATAGTGGTCAAGCCCAAGGCTTGGGGATGTATTACCTCTAACGTCTTGGATTCAAAATTTTCTAGGTACACACAATTTATTGAGACTAGTTCATATAAAATTTTGCCTTGATTTTAATTGGACCCCTATAAAAAAGCGACAAGATTGGTCCCTGAATTAATCAGTCTAATAGACTAGATAACGAGTTATCAAAAATAAGTTTTTTTTTTTGGGTTAACGAGTAAACTCCTCAAGTTTGTCCTCTACCAATTTCAGAATCAACTACCTAATATCAATTTAACCAAAATAGGACGAAGAGAAAATTTCGAATATGTGCACTAATTCCATAATGCACAAACTATTTAATTTAACAATGAGGTCAGTGCTTCGAATAAAAAGATTATACCAATTATTCTCCAAAGGGGTCAGTGGCTACGACTGTGTTTCACTTTTCCTTGAATACAATCCATTTACAATCATAGCTCACCTCACTTTTTGTTCTCTCATGCAGTCGTTCCTGTGAAATTGGAAAAGAATGCAGATCATCAAAGTACAGGAGACATTGAGAATCCTGCTGGCTGCTTCACTTCAAGTGGTACTTATGGTAAAGGTTTAAACCTTTACATTATGTTTGAATTATAAATTTAGATAAAAATTTAAAAAGAAATTTTAAAAAAATAAATAAAAATATCAATGAAATATAATTATATTTTGCCTAAATTTTACACACATTTTTTTTTTCTTTTTAAAAATCTCTACTCAAATCCATAATTCAAACGGTGGTACTATATATACTCATTAGTGTACTAACTAGTGTACCAATATATGTATAACATTATTATTGACTCTACTCATTATACAAATTACAAATACCAAAAACTTCTTAAATTATGTCACATCATCAATTAGTACACTAGTTAGTACACTAATTGGTACATATAACATTATTCAAATTCAAATTCAGTCCTAATTCCACTCCTGCATTTAATTCCATATTAATTAATACTTAACGGCACTATGCTATAATGATTGTCCTAATCAACTTTAATTTAGTTAGACTGTGTTTGGTCAGAAGATTTGATGAACAAAATAAAAAGAGAAATAGAAAGAAAAGCAAAAAGAATTGATAAATAGATAAAGAAATGGTGTGAGTGAACCTAAAAGACAAAATGTAGAAATGCATTTCAATTTCTCTTTTTATTTCTCTCATCAAATCCTCCAACCAAATAGAGCCTTGGGCGATTTTTGTTTCACGGATTCAGATAGTGATTTGAAAAGAGAAAAAGAAAAAGTAAGTGAAATTTTTCCTTTTATCTTTCCAAATCCATGACGCCCTTTTCTCCCTTTTAGGAATTTACGTGTAGCTCTTAATAAGTGAACTTATTATCTAATAGGTCATATAATAATTAATAGTGCTTTTTATCAAATATTATTAAAAAACGTCACTAATTGTTAATTTTCAGCGACAATTTCAAAATTGTCACAAAAAATGTCATTAATTATAAGTTTTAGCGACAGTTTAAAAAATCATCATAAAAAGTCACTAATTTTCAATTTTTAACAATAATTTAAAAAATTTGTCAAAAAAATATCACTAATTGTAAGTTTCAGATGCAATTTATAAAAATCGTGACAAAAAAAAAAAATCATTAATTGTCAATTTTTAGCGATATGCAAAAAATCGTCACAAAAAATTATTTTTAACAATGATTTTACTATGACTTATTTTTAATAGAATTTGATAAAAATTTAGTCTAACTATTAGGACCTATTGATAGTTCATGGGGGATTCTATTTACACTCAAAAAATTATTAAGTACTCCCAATTTCTAAGTACACCTTGTTTAATTATTTAAAATTTTATTTTACTCCAATTACACTCTATTATTGTTTCCAAATTACCCTCAAGGTAAACCCAAATAATAAATAATAAACAAACTAAAAAAAAAATTATTTCAAAAAATTTTCAATACAGAAAAAAAAACTTATAAGCACATAAGCATTATAAATACAGAAAAAACCAAACTTTTACATAACCATTATAAAACTTTTCAATACAGAAAAAAAACTTTTACATTATAAATTATCTACAAGAATACTCATGGAAAAGTAAAAACCAAACTAATAAGCTCATAAGCATCAGTCACTAACAAGAAAGAGTAGTTCTCAATAATGTACTATTTAAATGAAAAAAAATAAGAACAACTCCAGTAATATGTTATCATTAATCTAACTACGGGCGCTTTAATTTTTGTCAAAAAAACGATATAAAAAATAAGTGATGGTTCCTTTACAAAAATTGCGAAACTCCTTTATATGAATACTTACCTCTTTTTTGATTGGTTGTTTCAAAAAACTGTTTTGATTATTACTCTCATCCATTATTTGATTTTGTTCAATCTTTCTTCTAGGGTTTAGGGTTTTAAAATAATAAAAAATAATGATGTTGATGATGATGGTGAGTTTTGGTAGGATAGATTGGAGTTTTGGAGGAAGGAAGAAGAAGAAGAAGAAGAAGAAGAAGAAGAAATAACTTTAGTATCTTAGGGAAGAAGATGCAGAGATTTGAATAGGAATAACTAATTATGGTGTATCATGAAAAAAAGAAAAATTATTTTAGGATTTAATATATGTTCTCCTTATTAGTAAATTCATATTAGGATATAATATGAATTAAAATTTATGAATTTAAATTAGGCATACTAAGACATATTTTAGGTTCAATAGAATCCCCCATAGTTTATCGTCTCCCATTTGGATTGCTCCAAAATTGTAGCAGTTATGGGATGTGTTAATTTTAGGCTTAACAAGTTTAGTTTGGATTTTAGTTTGGGTTTGGATTTGGTTTTGGGTTATTAGTGTTAAAATTGGTATTATAAATTTTTTTAATGATTCATTGAAATTGCAACCCACTGTTAGTTTGGGTTTGGGTTTGGGTTTGGGTTTGAGTTTGAGTTTGGATTCTTAGTGTTAAAATTGGTATTATAATTTTTTTTAATGATTCATTGAAAGTGCAACCCACTGTCCGAGCAAACACTAAGCTGTAATCGGCTTGGTACCACGGAACACACACTGGTGCTCTTCATAGACTAAAAAATCTCTCTTGAAAGTTATGGACATGACACACTTTATAAGATAGGTAAAAGTTCCTATCAAACTAACATAGGACAGATTACCACCCCACACATAAAAATAACTAAATCCATCAAAAATTGGAGATTGATGTTTTCTTATGTATCATGCATGACTTAAACGAAGAAATTAACAAAACAAAGACTTCTTACCCCGATTGATCGGAATTAGGCAATTTATCAATCCTAGTAGTTGTTAGGAATCCGTAACTCATAATTAAGATTGATGAAACATAAAATACAAGAATTATGAAGGTATAAGAATCATAAATTACACACGTAAAATAGGGAATCAGAACACTGCATTTATCACATGCAGACACATCAATCAGTGTCCACTAATCGATTTAATTAATCTTTGAAATATACAATGTATGTCATAATCCTTTTACATGGAATCACCATTAGATCCTAATAGTTAAATTTAGGCCACATTGGTTTGGCGGATTAAGTTAGATGAGATTATTAGTGAGAAAATTATTAGTGAAAAGATTGTTAATGTGTGGATTATTAGTAAGGGAATTAAATAAAAGTGTGTTTATTTTGATAATAGTGTGAGAGATGATTAGTGATGGAATTGTTAAATTATTTTTAGGACGAATTGCACTAACAATTCCTGTAGTTTGGGATTTGTGTCACTTTGGTCCATGACTTCTCAATTGTGACACATTATAAAATAATCTCAATCTCCTCACTATTTTCCTAATCCCACCTAAAATGCACTCAAGCTAATCCCCCTCACAGAGGGGGATTGCTAAGCCCCTTATACTACTAATCCTATGACATTTTGTTATATCCAAACAAGGGTTTGGTGGGTACCATGGATTGGTAATCCAATCCACCCTCCTAAACCCCCAATCGAACATGATCTTAATTTCCATTAAGTCCTATTAAAAGTTAGTCGTAGTAAAATCGTCGTTAAAAATATTTTTTTATGACAATTTTTGCATATCATTAAAAATTGACAATTAGTGAATTTTTTTTTTTTTTTTTTATAAATTATCGCTAAAACTTATAATTAGTGATATTCTTCTATGACGAATATTTTGAATTGTTGTTGAAAGTTAAAAACTAGTGACATTTTTGTGACAATTTTTTTAAACTTTCAGTAAAACTTATAATTAGTGACATTTTTTGTGATAAAATTTTCAAACTATCACTGAAAATTAACAATTCATGACTTTTTTTAATGGTGTTTGATGAAAAATGTCATTTTTTTTTTGATTGGCTAAAGCAAAATCTTTATTGATGAAACATACAAAGTATGAAAATTTACATCAAGAAAGAGGAGCTTGGAGCTAAGAAGAAGCTCCAAGCGCCAGTTGGTGAGGCACCAACAAGAGAAAGCTGAAGAAAAAATAAAAGCATCAAACTGAAAGATAAATGCAGACAAACAAACTGATAGTAGACAAACTGATAATAGCAACTGTTCAGAGTCACCCACATCAGACCCAAGCAGAACAGCCCAACTCCCAGCAACTCCTAGCTCCCAACAGATCAATAACCTTTCCAAAACTAACAAACCTCCAAAACTGATGCCATATGTGAATCTCATTTCATCCACTACAGGAAAAATAGGTTTTAATGGCGTTCTTTTAATGACGTTTTTTTAAACGTCACTTTTCTTAATTTTTAACGGCGTTTTTATAAACGTCGCATATTGTTTAACCAAAACGACACCGTTTTATAATTGAAGGCATTTAAAACCGCCTCCAAATGCGGTAGGATCACGTGCTGATCCTTCTTTGTGAAACCCTTATTTCGAATCTGAGCCCTTTCTCTCTCTCAACCATTATATACACACACATCTCTTTCTCTGTCTCTCAGCGATTATTGATAACTCTAGGAAGAAGCTTCGTCTCTCGAAAGATCAATCGGCTATTCTTGAAGAGAGCTTCAAAGAACACAACACTCTCAATCCTGTAAGTATATATAACATTGAGTCTTAGCTTGAAGCTCAGCTATGGAGATCGGGGTAGTTTGGTTATTTTACTAAGATCTCTGTGATTTCTCTCTCTCTCAACCCTTACACGCACACATTTCTCCATCAAAGCTCCATCTGCACCGACGATTTCGAAGATTCAGAGTGATTTCGAAGCGATTTCGAAGATTCAGATCAATTTCGAGATTCAGAGCGATTTCAAAGCTCCATCGCCACCACCATCTGCACCGGCGAGGTAGCGAGCTCCACCGTCTCTCTCTCTCTCTCTCTCTCTCTCTCTCTAGATCTCTATCTCTCTTTAGATTTATGAAATCAATGTTTTAAGGCATGCACACATTTCTCCATTGAAGCTCCATCTGCACCGACGATTTTGAAGATTCAGAGTGATTTCGAAGCGATTTCGAAGATTCAGATCGATTTCGAGATTCAGAGCGATTTCAAAGCTCCATCGCCACCACCATCTGCACCGGCGAGGTAGCGAGCTCCACCGTCTCTCTCTCTCTCTCTCTCTCTCTCTAGATCTCTATCTCTCTTTAGATTTATGAAATCAATGTTTTAAGGCATTCTTACTTGATCTTCATTTGCAGAGATTCATAGATGCAGTGATTCAGAGTTTCAGTGATTTCAGAGCGATTTTGATTTCAAAGCTCCACCCCCACCACCATCTGCACCGGTGATTTTGATTTCACTAAGGTGAGCTCCACCGTCTCTCTCTCTCTCTCTCTCTCTCTCTCTCTCTCTTTCAGTTTCCTCTCAAATTACTTCAAATTTTTTGTGGCTTCTTTTCTAATGATCTGAATCTTGTTTTTATTTTTTCGTAGTCAAGTTCAAGCTCCTTCCCCTGTCCTAGAATCCTAGTACCATCATGTTTAGTCCTCGTATTTTTTTAATTTATTTTTTTAATTTTTAATTTTTTAATACTAGAAATTAGAGACAGCATGGATAAACAAAACTAAATATTTTTTAAGGTTGCTGTTTGGATTCATACCCCACTTATTGCATTGGACATTTGTAGTGAAGAAAAACAAATCAACTTGGACATTTGTTATGGCTTAACATAAAATTTTTAAGTTTTAACAAGTATATATGAATTACCGGGATTGGTGAGTGAGTTTGAAACTTCCAAATCTGAAGATCCAACATTAGGTGGCTCGGCAATGGCCTAACTCAACTGTTTGACAACACTTCCTTCTCCTTTCGTTATCTTTTCACTCCATCATTACCTGTACCATTTTTAGAGTTGAAAGGATCTAAGCTGAGGATCTGAATTGCTATTGGATTTTCACTATTAATCAATGTGCAGTCTCCTTAGTATCTTATTTTGAAAAGGGAGTTGAGCAGAGTAATAGTAGTCCTTTTTCGACTATGGGTTTTGTCTTAAGCAAAATCGTTTCTATTCATTTGAGGTATAACTTCACCAATAAAGCTTGATAGTCTGGTGTGTATGGCTCTATTTTTTCCAAAAAATTGTTGTCTGAGCCCACTTATTTTCCAGAAATTATAAATCGTTTACCCCTGGTTGAATACTTCCCTTTACATTGTCCCTGTAAAGCAATTTTGCCTAACGTCTTTATTTCTTTTCCTCTTTTTTTTTAATAAGATAATTAGTCCCTTCTTACTAGTTATCTGATGAATTCTTAATTATTTCATGCCAATGCAGCTTGAGGCTATTCCCATGTCTATCCATTCTCTTCTGTCCTCATTTCTTGTTGTATCCTTAAATGATGCACTTTAAGTTCACTATCTGCATAATCTAGGTGCAGTATGCTGAAAATAGTTTTTTTGGCCTACTGATTGTTATTTTGTTTTAAAAGTGCTTTCATTACTTCTAAAGAAAGAGAAAAAGAAGTATGATTGACTGATTTGTGCAACAGTTTGAGATATAGTAATAAATTGCGAAAGGTTATAAACTTGATCATATGTGTTGCCTTTTATTCTCTGAGAAATCTCTGATGTTTGAAAATACTAGTGACTTAAATTCGAGCAAAGAATTTCCAGCTAGATGTCCTTACAGCTAATTCTTTTCTACCATGTTCAACTAGGTCTTGTGTATTGTATGGATTACTTAGAGAAAAACATTGACTGGTTGGAGTCCAAATTAAAGCCTCTTCTCAAAGGTTAGTATTCAAGGCCTACATTGGCATGGACTTGTAACTTTTTGTTTTTTGGAAGTGATTATCAACCATCCTGGATTCCTCGCTCTCAGATTTGATTCGCCCAATTTCAAAGGTAATTCTATGGTTTTTTTTTGGTTTGATCTTGCAAAAGCTGGACCTCTGGACCTTTATCAGCGGAATATCGATCTTCATCAGTTTTTATGGGTTTTCAATTATTACGTGGAAATTAATTTATTTCCTTATCATTTTGTTTGTAGGGTTTGCGATTGTTTTTTAATTTATACTATTCCTGTGATTTGTGTGTAAAAATTTAAGTTTTTTTGATAAATTTCTGCTTTATTATTATTTTTAATCTGTGTGTTGACATTGATTTTGTTTGAGAATGGGAACAATTTTCAGCTTTTTTGGACATACTAAAGTTATAAAAATTGGCTTTAAGAATTGTAAAAGACTTAAGTATGAAACCCAATGCCTTTGTGCTATCGAACTTCTTTGGACTAGAGTTTCTGAATTATTAAGGTCATTTTGGTTGTGATTGTATGGTGGCCCAATGCAATGTGGCATCAAAGTGCTTGGACTTGAATTGTTAGTTTTATTAAACTGTACATCTTATTGTTTATTGACAATTATGCATCATTCCCCATCATCATGCATAGGCCAGTACTGAGTGGCTGTGGAATTAAAACTGACTTGACAATGTACGAAAGAGGGACATTGATGATTAATTGTGTGTTAACTTAGTTATTAAATTTTTGTTTCGATAGTTGGGATGTTGGGTTGAAGTTCTATCGTGTATGTTTTACTAATTCTTGAGTTACTTGTTTTTGAGTCATTTTAGGTTGACGTTCACTTGTGAAGACCATGTCTCATCACCAAGTGGATGATGCTGAATACATGGCAGATAAATATGAAATGGAAGATATGGATGATGATATGGACGAAGAGTTTCGTGGAAGAGAGATGGGTGGCTTAGACTCTGATGTGGATGAATATGACTACTTGGTTTGTGATATAAACTTTATAAAGTTTGAACCATAGTTTGTTGTCATGATATGCTATCTAACTGCAAGTCTTACCACTTTTCCTTGTTTATTTCTCTCCTATTGGCATGTTTTTTCTCTCTTTTTTTCAAGTAAGTTTTAGATGTTTTTTCCCATCAAGCTCAGGATATATGAAATACTAACTGTTTGGTACCTATTTTGAAATTTCAGTTTGATGTAAAAGCTCCTTGCTCTCATTCTTTATTTTGAGTATAATTGTATGCATTGTTGTTTGTCCTTATATAACATGAACATGTATAATTTTATGCATTATAGTTTGTTGCTTTTAATCTTATTCCAATCACAATTGGAAATTGACTTGGCATGTTGGAAATTGCAGTTCCCTTGTTCGGCTCGAATTGCTCCCACAATGTCAATATCATAGGTTTAATGCTGCAAGTAAGATTTGTTAGAGTTTGAATAGAATACTGTAATGATTTGTGAATGAGTTGGTTTGGGGCTTACTCTTTATCTATGATAACAGCCTCTTGCAAGAAAGACTCAGTGCAAGCATTATCGTGGACACTTTTAACTTTGATTTTGCAAGTTGGTGCAACTTGTAGGACCACAAATAACACATCTGCAAGTAATAACAGTACAGTCACTACAGGAAAATGGGGATTTGATGGCGTTTTGTTAACGACGTTTCTGTAAACGTCACTGTTATTAGTATTTAACGGCGTTTTATAAACGCCGCATATTCTATTAAGAAAAACGACACCGTTTTATAATGGAAACGCCTCCGAATGTGGTAAACTACACGCGCCCTTTTAGTGAAAACCTTATGTTGAATCAGAGCCTTAATACATACGCACAGATCTCTCAACCCTTGATACATAGGCACAGATTGACATGCTGACATGGCGATAAAACTTGTAATGCCAAAAAACTGTATACCTTCCAATGTATCTTAGGGACTTTGGTGATGAACCATCCTTAGGGAACTTGCTATTTTCAACATACCTGAAATTAAATGAATATAAGAAAATTTATTAGCCTTTTAAAGGTAATAGAAAGATGACAATTGCCAAATTTAGCTACATTTACTTTGTGGTTGGTTCATCCCAATACTGGGCATTTCCTTCATTTGTTGAATAGATCTTTCCTTTCTTTGGAACCTGTTCGTAGATGCAGTAATGAAGCATGATTAATGGATCACACAGGCGAAGCACAGAGGACAGACCTAATGACGATTACTAGACATGTTCTTAATGAGCAGTCGAAGCACCCTGAAGCTCACGGCGACTTCACAATCTTGCAGGATGAAGCCTTCACATCTGTTTCATTTGCCCTATGAGGCAAAGTGAGAATGTCTCCCAGCATCTTATCAATTCATGGTGTGGCTCTTCCCTATGAGGCTGGTGAAATCGATTTCGGTGAACCAGGAACAAATGGTCAGCATAGCTTTTACCAATTAATTCACCAGGTAATTTTCATGCTCTGTTTTATATATAGTACTCCAGTTGCCAATAAGTAAATGTTCTTACAGATAATGACCATATAAATAGTAAATTCATGCATGAACTAGTTACGTCTGATGCTTCTTGAAGTGTAAAAATATTTCTTATTTGAGGCTGCTAATGAGTGGTTCAATAATGTTATTTTTCTTTTTCTGTAGAGTAGTGTGTATAGCATGACACTTGACCTTTTAATAAGAGGTTTTCAAGAATTTCAAATTAGTCTTAGTGGCAATCTTGAAAGCTTTATCATCACAAACTTCTCTGAAATGCTTGATTCGGGTTGGATTCGCATCTAACAACTCATAGCCTCACTGAAATAAAAATGCGAATAAAATTACAACTCAAAGGAGTTTTGTCAAATGGGATTGCCAAGAAATAAAACCTAACACTCTTAAAATGCGAATGCAGGCTTCTGCAGGTTTTGTTAGTGCCAGTGCCCTTGGAATGGCATGTGGTCCTGCTCTCTCTTGCTTACTCCAAACGCAATTTAAGCTCTTCAATATTACATTTAATGAAAACACTTTGCCCGGATGGGTTATGGCTCTGGCATGGCTCATCTACTTACTGTGGTTGTGGATTTCATTCAGAGAGCCATCTTCTTATGAGGCTGAAGATAGTGTTGCATCACAGGACGTAAAAACTGGTATGGTAATTGGATTGGTCATTTTGGCCCCACACACTGCATTGTGGTATGTCTATTAATATTTTTGATGATTCAGCTTGTGCTATGCTGTTTTCAAACTTTGAGAGCATCTTTATCATATGCATTACTCAGTTGAACTAAGGTGCATCTTAAGGCAGGGCATATTTGAGAGCATTTTTATTTAATGGAAAAAGAACAATGATGTCAAGCCTTATACTGCAAATTTAATGCAAATTTAACTATTTTGAAATTTCAGTTTGATGTAAAAGCTCCTTGCTCTCATTCTTTATTTTGAGTATAATTGTATGCATTGTTGTTTGTCCCTATATACGATGAGCATATATAATTTTATTTTACCATTCTCTGTTTTTATTTTGGCCTTTTTCATATCAAAGCTATCCCACTTATAGATTGTGTTCAAATTTTTACGAACTTCATATATGTTAAAAGTTCTATATCCCAAAATTCAGCAGGTTGACCAAATAGTAGTTTCCAGATGTTGAGAATGAGGGTGCTTCCAAATGTTGTGTTGAGCGCTAGTCCTGTTCAATACGTAAGTGTGTTATTTTTTCACGTTAATATAATTAATAGGATGGTTAAAGTGATAGTCCATTAAATTACCATTATAGTTTGTTGCTTTTAATCTTATTCCAATCACAATTGGAAATTGACTTGGCATGTTGGAAATTGCAGTTCCCTTGTTCGGCTCGAATTGCTCCCACAATGTCAATATCATAGGTTTAATGCTGCAAGTAAGATTTGTTAGAGTTTGAATAGAATACTGTAATGATTTGTGAATGAGTTGGTTTGGGGCTTACTCTTTATCTATGATAACAGCCTCTTGCAAGAAAGACTCAGTGCAAGCATTATCGTGGACACTTTTAACTTTGATTTTGCAAGTTGGTGCAACTTGTAGGACCACAAATAACACATCTGCAAGTAATAACAGTACAGTCACTACAGGAAAATGGGGATTTGATGGCGTTTTGTTAACGACGTTTCTGTAAACGTCACTGTTATTAGTATTTAACGGCGTTTTATAAACGCCGCATATTCTATTAAGAAAAACGACACCGTTTTATAATGGAAACGCCTCCGAATGTGGTAAACTACACGCGCCCTTTTAGTGAAAACCTTATGTTGAATCAGAGCCTTAATACATACGCACAGATCTCTCAACCCTTGATACATAGGCACAGATTGACATGCTGACATGGCGATAAAACTTGTAATGCCAAAAAACTGTATACCTTCCAATGTATCTTAGGGACTTTGGTGATGAACCATCCTTAGGGAACTTGCTATTTTCAACATACCTGAAATTAAATGAATATAAGAAAATTTATTAGCCTTTTAAAGGTAATAGAAAGATGACAATTGCCAAATTTAGCTACATTTACTTTGTGGTTGGTTCATCCCAATACTGGGCATTTCCTTCATTTGTTGAATAGATCTTTCCTTTCTTTGGAACCTGTTCGTAGATGCAGTAATGAAGCATGATTAATGGATCACACAGGCGAAGCACAGAGGACAGACCTAATGACGATTACTAGACATGTTCTTAATGAGCAGTCGAAGCACCCTGAAGCTCACGGCGACTTCACAATCTTGCAGGATGAAGCCTTCACATCTGTTTCATTTGCCCTATGA